AAAAAACCCTTATTGGGTTTAGAACTAGCAAGATAGAAAATAGAACTGGCTGTATACAAGCTAGAACTAGGGTAATAGAAACTAGAACTAACGTAGAAGAAAGAACTAACAAGTGTGCATGTAAAAACCCTTGTTGGGTTTAAAACTAGTAAGATAGAAGTTAGAACTGGCCGTATACAAGCTAAAACTATGGTAATAGAAGCTAGAACTAACGTAGAAGAAAGAACTAACAAGTGTGCATGTAAAAAACCCTTGTTGGGTTTAGAACTAGCAAGATAGAATCTAGAACTGGCTCTATACAAGCTAGAACTAGGGTAATAGAAGCTAGAACTAACGTAGAAGTAAGAATTAACAAGTGTGCATGTAAAAAACCATTGTCGGGTTTAGAACTAGCAAGATAGAAGCTAGAACTGGCTGTATACAAGATAGAACTAGGGTAATAGAAGTTAGAACTAACGTAGAAGAAAGAACTAACATGCATACTTGTTAATTCTTACTTCTACGTTAGTTCTAGCTTCTATTACCCTAGTTCTAGCTTGTATACAGCTAGTTCTAGCTTCTATCTTGCTAGTTCTAAACCCAACAAGTGTTTTTTACATGCACACTTGTTAGTTCTTGATTCTATGTTAGTTCTAGCTTCTATTACCCTAGTTCTAACTTGTATACAACCAGTTCTAGCTTCTACCTTGCTAGTTCTAAACCTAACAATGGTTTTTTACATGCACACTTGTTAGTTCTTGCTTCTACGTTAATTCTAGCTTCTATTACCCTAGTTCTAGCTTGTATACAACCAGTTCTAGCTTCTATCTTGCTAGTTCTAAACCCAACAAGGGTTTTTTACATGCACACTTATTAGTTTTTGCTTCTACGTTAGTTCTAGCTTCTATTACCCTAGTTCTATCTTGTATACGGCCAGTTCTAGCTTCTATCTTACTAGTTCTAAACCTAACAAGGGTTTTTTACATGCACACTTGTTAGTTTTTACTTCTACGTTAGTTCTAGCTTCTATTACCCTAGTTCTAGCTTGTATACAGCCAGTTCTAGCATCTATCTTGGTAGTTCTAAACCCAACAAGGGTTTTTTACATGCACACTTGTTAGTTTTTACTTCTACGTTAGTTCTAGCTTCTATTACCCTAGTTCTAGCTTATATACGGCCAATTCTAACTTCTATCTTGCTAGTTCTAAACCCAACAAGGGTTTTTTACATGCACACTTGTTAGTTTTTACTTCTACGTTAGTTCTAGCTTCTATTACCCTAGTTCTAGCTTGTATACGGCCAGTTCTAGCTTCTATTTTGCTAGTTCTAAACCCAACAAAGGTATTTTACATGCACACTTGTTAGTTCTTACTTCTACGTTAGTTCTAGCTTCTATTATCCTAGTTCTAGCTTCTATCTTGCTAGTTCTAAACCCAATAAGAGTTTTTTACATGCACACTTGTTAGTTTTTACTTCTACGTTAGTTCTAACTTCTATTACCCTAGTTCTAACATGTATACAGCCAGTTCTAGCTTCTATCTTGCTAGCTCTAAACCCAACATGTGTTTTTTACATGCACACTTGTTAGTTCTTGCTTCTACGTTAGTTCTAGCTTCTATTACCCTAGTTTTAGCTTGTATACAGCCAGTTCTAGCTTCTATCTTGCTAGTTCTAAACCCAATAAGGGTTTTTTACATGCACACTTGTTAGTTCTTACTTCTACGTTAGTTCTAGGTTCTAATATCCTAGTTCTAGCTTGTATACGGCTAGTTCTACCTTCTATCTTGCTAGGTCTAAACCCAACAAGGTTTTTTTACATGCACACTTGTTAGTTCTTACTTCTACGTTAGTTCTAGCTTCTATTAACCTAGTTCTAGCTTGTATAAGGCCAGTTATAGCTTCTATCTTGCTAGTTCTAAACCCAACAAGAGTTTTTTACATGCACACTTATTAGTTTTTACTTCTACGTTAGTTCTAGCTTGTATACGGCCAGTTCTAGCTTCTATCTTGCTAGTTCTAAACCCAACAAGAGTTTTTTACATGCACACTTGTTAGTTCTTACTTCTACGTTAGTTCTAGCTTCTATTACCCTAGTTCTAGCTTGTATACAGCCAGTTCTAGCTTCTATCTTGCAAGTTCTAAACCCAACAAGGGTTTTTTACATGCACACTTGTTAGTTTTTGCTTCTACGTTAGTTCTAGATTCTATTACCCTAGTTCTAGCATGTATACAGCCAGTTCTAGTTTCTATCTTTTGCTAGTTCTAAACCTAACATGGGTTTTTTACATGCACACTTGTTAGTTCTTGTTTCTACGTTAGTTCTAGCGTCTATTACCCTAGTTTTAGCTTGTATACAACTAGTTCTAGCTTCTATCTTGCTAGTTCTGAACCCAACAAGGGTTTTTTACATGCACACTTGCTAGTTCTTACTTCTACGTTAGTTCTATCTTCTATTACCCTAGTTTTAGCTTGTATACAGCCAGTTCTAGCTTCTATCTTGCTAGTTCTAAACCCAACCTTCTATTACCCTAGTTTTAGCTTGTATACAGCCAGTTCTAGCTTCTATCTTGCTAGTTCTAAACCCAACAAGGGTTTTTTACGTGCACACTTGTTAGTTCTTTCTTCTACGTTAGTTCTACCTTCTATTACCCTAGTTCTAGCTTGTATACGGCCAATTCTAGCTTCTATCTTGCTAGTTCTAAACCCAGCAAAGAGTTTTTACATGCACACTTGTTAGTTCTTACTTCTACGTTAGTTCTAGCTTCTATTACCCTAGTTCTAGCTTGTATACGGCCAGTTCTAGCTTCTATCTTGCTAGTTCTAAACCCAACAAGGGTTTTTTACATGCACACTTGTTAGTTCTTACTTCTACGTTAGTTCTAGCTTCTATTACCCTAGTTCTAGCTTGTATACGGCCAGTTCTAGCTTTTATCTTGCTAGTTCTAAACCCAACAATGGTTTTTTACATGCACACTTGTTAGTTCTTACTTCTACGTTAGTTCTAGCTTTTATTACCCTAGTTCTAGCTTGTATACAGCCAGTTCTATTTTCTATCTTGCTAGTTCTAAACCCAACAAGGTTTTTTTACATGCACACTTGTTAGTTCTTGCTTCTACGTTAGTTCTAGCTTCTATTACCCTAGTTCTAGCTTGTATACGGCCAGTTCTAACTTCTATCTTGCTAGTTCTAAACCCAACAAGGGTTTTTTACATGCACACTTGTTAGTTCTTTCTTCTACGTTAGTTCTAGTTTCATTACCCTAGTTTTAGCTTGTATACAGTCAGTTCTAGCTCACATCTATGTTAGTTCTAGCTAGTTCTAGCTCTAATTCATCTTCGTTCTAGGCTCTTGGGAACAGAGAAAAGCTCCTCCTACCTCCGACGGAGCCTACCGAGACACCCCGATGACCCCGGCAACGTCCTCCCACCTCCGGTAAGCCCAGACATCGGTAAAAATCTCCGAACAGCGAAGAACAAACCCGAACGGCGAGAAATTGCACTGTAAAAAACTATAGTTTTTTGCCGACTTCGCACGCACTTTCTGATCACCTCCAATCTCCGTTTCCGCCGATTTCTTCTTTGGTGAGTAGCCCTACATGTTGCCTATCACCTTCAATTTGTATCACGCTCTAACTCATTCTCTATCTCTCTCGGTAATGTCCGAAACATCGCTCGACGGCAGCAGCGAGCAGAAAACAGCAGCGCCGTGCCGACTTCGCGCGTGTTTTACAGCCACCTCCGGTCTCCGTTTTCACTACCGTCTACGCCGGTGTGTAGCCCTTTACATTGTCTATCACACGGTATCCTCCTTTCATTTGGGCTCATTTTCTACCTCTCGTTATATTGCTTCGAATATCGCTCGACGGCACCGTGACAATTTCATTCATAGAGATACATTAATACACCTTTTCGTTCTTTCTTAATTACGGCATTTCTCTTCATTCCCCTTCTACTCTACTTCTCCTTACCTTTCTTTTTTTTTTCCTTTTTTTTCTTTTCTTCTTCTAGCTAATAGATTAATGCTCTGTGCGTCTCGGCCTGATAACTAAAAAAATATCCACAGCAGAATCGATCACAATTTGCAAATACAGAAGCTCATAAGGATAAATCCACAGTCATGTGAGAAATTAAAAACGTAGATATATTGTCAACATGAACCCTCAATTGATCAAAGTCATTTAAAAAAAAGTAATGTCCAAATCTCAATGGGTCACAACAACATCATCATTTACTGTAAATATCAATCTCAAAAACCAACCTACTCGTAGCATCATCTATCAATCTCAAAAACCAACCTACTCGTAGCATCATCTTCTTAAATTCATCAAAGCATAAAACACCATCTTCATTAACATCATACATTCGAGCATCATCTTCTTAAATTCATCAAAGCATAAAACACCATCTTCATTAACATCATACATTCGGATCATCTTCCTGCACTCCTCAACAGTCTTCAATTGCCCGAGCTTTTCAAGTGTTTTCCTCAAACTCTGCGACGATGATCTACGGCGGGGGAGCGGTGACGATCTACGGTGACGAGGACGGGAGGAGGAGGGGAGAGGAGGCGGCAGCGAACTCGATGAGAGTCTTGGGGGCCTGAGCGGAGGCGGGGGCGGCGACGACGACGAGGAGGGCGAGGGCCAGGACGACGAGCTTGAGAAAGCTTTTAGTTTTAGAGAAAGGTGAGAGAGAGAGAGAGGAGATGAGAGAGAGAGGAGATGAGAGAGAAAGAGGTGATATAAGTGCCGAGTCAGAGAGATTGAGGAGAGAGGATAATGATAATTTGAGAATTTTAGCTTAGCTGGAATGTGATAATTAATAAAAAGAGGCTACAGTACAAAGTATCACACTTTAAAGGGCTGATCCACATGGAAAAAACTATGATGGGCCTTGTCACATAAAGTTTCTACTTTTGGGATCTGGACACATTTTTCCCAAAAACATCACGTGAGCCCTAGGTTCGCACTTTACAAAACATCACGAGCATCGCCCGTGCATCGTCAAAAGTCTTATGCAGGCCACAGCCAAAAACCTCCGCGGCTTCAGCTCTTTCACCGGAGCAACAGCGAGCGATCACAACGGAAAATGTCCGAAGTCCGCCCCCTACGATCTCTCCCCCCAAACGAACCCCTCCCAATCTCCCGCCAAAACCCTAACCCTAACCCTAACCCTAACCCTTCGCTTCCTCAATGCGAATCCCTCGCTCGATCCTGGCTCTCTTCTCTCCCGCCTCCCTACTCTCCATCTCCCGCCGAAATCGACTCCTGGATCGATTCCAACCTCTCCCCTCTCCCCTCCGATCTCCGCTCCCTTTCCCGATTTCAACTCCACCAGTGGATTCTCTCTCTCCACCCAACCCCTAACCCTAACCCTAACCCTATCCCTAGTTCTAGCCAGGTCGAACACCCGTACAGATTCCAGCGTACGGACCTGTGGCTTCCAGTTTACCAGTGGTTGGAGGCGTTGGACAAGGATCAGCTGGTGAGTGGCAAGGAGCTAACGGATTGGTTGGGTCAGAACACTGAGTTTGTGGATCGGGTTCTGTCGAAGCACTCGAAGTATCATTTGATGCATTACATCCAGAAGTTGCACTTGAAAATGCTCAAGAAGAGAGGCAAGTTGCCCAAGGTACTATCTTTTTTGATTGTTGGTTAAATGCAAGCCCAGTTTGTTACCCTTGTAATGCACGGGGATTAGAGACGGTTGAGTGATTTTGGGTTTGGGAAAGGGAGCAGAGAAGAGAGAAATGAAGTGGGATATTGATAGGAAAATTGTTGAATTTTTATTGGATTGATACAGCGGATCAGTGATAATGATGCCTGGTATAGGGAAGCTGAAGAGACATATTTAATTGTAGGAAAGATGAACCCTACTATTCAAAAAATTGAAGACAAACAATTGATGGCTGTCGCATTCCAGCAACTGCCGGTGGCTATACACTAAAGAATAATAGATTTTGTATTAATATATATTGTGCATTTCTAAATTTCATTTACATTTAAGCTTAGAAATTTTCCTTTCTCAAGATAATTGGGTCTCACAGTGTACAATACACGGTGGTTGTTATTGGCTAAGGTTTGCTCCCTTAATTGTTGTAAATGCTGATTATTACTTTTTGGTCACATTGAGATACAATGTATAATAGTGTCATCTTCATTGGGATTTCCGAAGGAAAGAAGTTATAACGTACGAAGTGTATCTAATGAGAGATTTACATGACAAAAAGTAAAGAATTCCTAACTTAGGAAGCTTATCTATTGAGAAATCTAGGGACTAAGAAAGCAGTAAATGGATTTTGCTTCTACCAAAACCTTGCACCACCTTTTGCAACAAAAGCGAGTTTTTTGAGGCAATTACCCCACATTCTATGAGATATTAATGCATCACGCAGGAGGATTGTCCTTGCTTGTATTATCAATCAAAATGAATTTTTGTGATTACATTCGATTTCCAAATGCAAATTTTGGTGAAATCTATTGTACCATAATCATAATCTATGCACGAGAGATCCATTCTTATATGCATACATGGTTCTTTTTGTTGAAGTTTAGTTGTTCTGCATATATTCTAAGGTAAAGGTGGGAAAGTTGAAATTTGAAAGAGAGAGTTTTATCTATTGTGAGGTCGACACCGTACAACTATTATTTTAGCTTTTCCACATATGATGTTGTGATCGTGGTTTGTGAACTAATATTTCTATCAACTTCTGGTGTGCCATAGGCTTGTATTATAGTGTCTATGCAGAATTATGGGTATCTAAAAAATCAATTATTTGTCCTAGTTCCTTAAAATTGGTCTTGGAAAAATCTAACATGAAAAGAAACTAAAGAATTACTTTTCACTCGCTTATGGTCCTGAAGAAAGATCAAATTAGAATCTTTTCATTATTTCTAGGTATAAACTCGTTATTGTAGTGTGAGCGTGAAGATAGTGGCAAATGTGGGAGTTATGGTGTAGTGGTATTGTATTAGATTTCTATAGTGCCCCTCATTCAGGTTTTCCCTTGATATTTTTGGGTTGACTATGTTATATCTTTCTATACCATTGCATAGTCTTTCATATATTGATTCCTCTTTCATATTTTTCATTTTAACTCCTCTTCTTTTATACGCACTACAAGTTGTAGTAATTACTGTTATTTGCTTTCTGGAATAGACTATGCTACTTTCTACTGCAAGGGCGTCAGTGAAGTGTCTAAATGGTGGAGCAACATCGCGACAAGATTCTTTCCTACATCCCCTAAAGAGCTCAAGTTGTGGGTCAAGAATGCGAGAACATTCTCTACTGTGTATGGCCTCCCTTTTTGACACCTTATCTTTATTTACTCATTTTTGATATTAGTTGAAGCGACATAACTTGTTTTATTATAATTCTCCTAATCTTGTATTTCTTATAGAAAATAATGTATTGGGCAGTCCTTTTACTATCTACCATTATCCCCTTACAAATTGGCATTACGTAGTAGTCATGGGAGCAGGAGGCTCACTTAGTCAATCAAATAGTCAGGTCTAAGCTAAATTGCAGGGGTACGGTTATGAGTATTGATACGATACAAGACACAACAAATTTGTATAAGGTAGGGCACAGAGACATAACTTTTAATATGTATGTTATTCATATTTATATGTAGTAGAATTAATAATTTGCATGAGATCAATATTGTTTTTTCATTTACATAAGATCAATATGTTAGAAATAGATGTGAAGTGTAGAATATACATCCAAAAAGTGTATGAGGAGTGTTTTAAATTAAAACATGTAGTATATAATTGAGTATGCACTTGAACAAATGTATGCATATATTCAAGAAGTGTCTAAGAAGTTTGGGTACCGGTATGGGTACGTGTTGGGTATGAGTATGACTTTCAAATAGAAGTACCCAAGTAACATAGGGTTTAAGGGTGTGATTTATTTGTTTTTGCAATTAAGCTTAATGGAGCAAGCCTCCAAGTTCATTTAATTATGCAAAGCATTTACATGTGATATAAACACTTGTGCCCTATGCAAAGGACATCAAATTAGAAATTGTGATAAGTGTAAGTTTAGATGCTTCTCTTTTTAAACCTGTGAATCCTTGGAAGGTTATAGGAAGCTCTAGGCGGCCTGGACACCGGACCCGAATCCTAGAGCTTAGGTGCATGAGCAAGAGCCTAGATGGCTTTCAAAATTATTTTTAATTACAATAATTAATAGAAAATGCATTAGATTCATTGAAAATTACAAAAAAAAAAAAAAACGAAAAATAGATTCATAGTCAATCCTGCATGAATAGACAAAATGGTCAACACTAAGAAATACCAACATAATAACTCATTGTTAATGACACATAATATCCCAATCTCAGAATCCTAATGCTCAAAATATTAGCAAAAGAAAAAACACAAATAGTCTAATGCGCGGCGTAATCATCTAATCCACTGTTATAAATAACGGTAAATAACCCCGCAATAGCGACGCTAATCGCGTTAGTGGTCCCTTCCCGCGATGCTATCGCCCACTACGTTATCGGGCAATAGCGGTGACATATTGCGGAACATGTCTGTTCGCAAAAACGATCAATAGTGTCATAACGGTAAATAGTGAGCGATTGTATTTGAAATTTACTTTTTGACTGCTATTTAAAAGCGGTTTGAGGCTTATTTTTTTAAAATTAAACTCAACCCTTGACTGCTATTTAAAAGCGGTTTGAGGCTTATTTTTTTAAAATTAAACTCAACCCTTGACCATTGCATTCTACCGTCTCCTGTGATTTTGTTTGAGGCTTATTTTTTTAAAATTAAACTCAACCCTTGACCATTGCATTCTACCGTCTCCTGTGATTTTTAGCATACTCCCGTCACCTCTCATAGCCTCTGATACCTACCTTGATACTTCCTCTCACCTCCTTCACCGTGAGCTCCTCTTAGGACAATCCTGTCACCGCTAAGCTTTTCTTCTCGAAGACGATTACTTTTTGACTCCTCCAGTCATCTTGGGTATTTCGTGATGGTTACATGTCTATTTCATGTTTAGGATCTCTTTAAATCATCCAATATGTATTTTTAGATTTTTTAGATTTTTCTTTAATTTTTTAGTATTTATACATATCTAAATTAGACCGCTATTTGACTTTGCGTTTTTTACCATTATTTTATCACAATAGTCCGAAATAGCCTTAGCGATGCCTCACCGCTATGCGACGTTATCCGCTATCGATAACCTTGATCTAATCTATTTCTCTTCTACTCTAATCCGCTTTACTTCATTGTGAGGATTTCTTTTTTATTTAAGTGATGACAGAGAAGGTTTGCTGAAGGTTAGGAGGAGTTGCGGATGGTCGTAGTTGGTTGGTGGTGGATGTTTGCTGAAGGTTGAAGGACCTGTAGGTGTTCGTAGCTAGTGGAGGAGGCCAAAGGAGTTTGGAGGAGGTTAGAGGATGATGGAGGCGACAACAAAAGTAATCATGACCGAGAGCTTAGCAATGCAGTTTGCATAAGGTACTGCCTAGGCTTAGGCACTCCCATGACCTAGGAGGGCAACTTAGGTATTGCTTAGGCCTAGGCGAGAGTTTTTAAAAACATTGAATCCTTGTGATGTAGAATAACTTGGAAGATCTGTTTGAATTTGATTGGGGAAGCTAGTAATGATATTTAGTTGTCTTTTCAGCTCGGATAACGCAAATATATTAGTTTATATATTTTGTTACGACTTTTTCTCATTTTCTTAGGTAAAATCTTTGTTAGTTATGGAGGTTGTTTCAATAGCGTGTTACTATTTTATGAATACTTTGTATTCTCTTTTTAAAGAAACATCAATTTATGAAAAGTTAATTTTTTGTGTGAAATCTATATTTGCATGAGGGTTACTGTTTCAGGTTCTTTTGTATTGCAATTGATGCAAATTACAATAAAAGAAATACAATGAAACAAATGAAAATTTATATTTCCTGCGCTTTTTTCCTGTGTGCCGGTGGATCGTTGATCTTGTACTCTGTTGACGCGCTGATTAAGACAATTGAGTCCATTGCTATTGATGAGAGTTGAATTGCTTGGAAGATAACTCAGTCTTCTTTTAGCAATATTTCTCAATGGAATCGCAAGTGTGATGCGTGTGCTAATTCTTCTGCCGAACTTTTCGAACCCTTTAAAATGAATGATCTCATCTCCTTTTATAAGCTAAAAGAGAGTTAATGGTCTCTTTAGTTGTGGGCTAAGTGGTCATTAAAGTAGGAACTAGTGGGAAATGGTTATCCCCTAAAAATAGCTTTGAAACGGCTATTTGGACGAGCTTTGCGGACTTGGTGAGGTTCGCTGAAGATGTGGGCGAAGGTCACTGCGGACGTGTGCACGCCTTCTTCGAAAGTAGATGACTTGGTCCACCTGGATTGACGTGAGTGAAGCTCTCTGCGGACTTGAGCACGCATTCTTCGAAAGTGGATGGCTTGGTTCACCTGGATTGATGTGGGCAAAGTTCATTGGTTGGCGAGCTTTGCTTGTGTTTGAATTTGACACAGAATTCAACTTTAAGCTTGGCCGACCAATAACGCCTTTTGACTCGGCTTGGGGGCGTGTCGTGAGAGTCGATTCGTGTTTTGATTTGGTCGGGTCGAGTCGATGTGAGTTGCTTGCGAGGTTTGCTTTAGTCATCAAGTAACATTCGCTGTAGCTTGTTGTGGGCTTGACTTTGGGTCTATTCAAAGTGTTTAGCCCATGTGCGTTCATTTCTTTGATTTTAGCTGATCATCGGCCTAAGTGAAAATATATTTTGATTTTCATGATCGAGTTGAGTTGATATAGGTTATTTGGCGAGGTTTGTTGCAGCTTCGGCTTCAGCGAACTTTGCTGTCTTCGATGAACTTCACTGTGTGTCCCATGTAGACTATTTGGGCGAAACACGTTTTGGGCAAGCATCGCTGGAAGCTTCATATTGACTTGGTCTTGTGAGCGAGCTTCATTATGACTTGGGCGAGCTTCGCTATGGCTTAGACGAGCTCCGCTGATAAGCTCATATTTGACTCAGAACCCGACTTGAACTCGTTTATTGACTCGTCCAACTTGGGGACACCTTTTGACTCGGCACTTTGTCTTGAGGATTGACTCGGATTCAAGTCCTCTTTGGCTCGGATGCAGTCATATTCATATGTGATCTAAGTGAACTTCGCTATAGCCTACCATATGGTGATGTTTGAGCCCATCTGAAGTGTTTTGCCCATGTGTGTTTCTTCTTAGACTCGGACTCAACATCCGTTAGATTAATAGACACGTGACTTACATTGAGTTTTCTAGCGTGCGAGACCGACATTCGTATACTTTCTTTTATTTTGATAGATTTAAATACATCACAAAATCTTGATCATTCATCTCAAACCATCCTTTTAACCAAACAACAAAACACAAGAACCGTACCTTTTCCCCTAGTAGTCATTGCCTTCTCTTCTAAATAAACAGTTTATCTCCCCTTACCTCAACATTCTGCCCTCCACTCGTCTCGTCCTGTCAATCTTTGACCATCGACGGATGCCGTTGAGCACCTTTAGTCATCTCTAACGTCTGTCTGATCACCATCATATTGCATTACTTGAAGTGGAACCTTTCAAGTTCAAATTGAAGACATGTTCTTTAGTTGTTGCAATATAATTGCAATAGAAGAAAACTAAAAGGAAATGAGAATAAGATCATGATTGTTAAGAAAAAGGACCACACTTTTGTACGAGAAAACAGATAATGGCATGACTTCTAAAGTAACGATATAGTATACGAGAAGAAGTATGAAAATTTTGGTTAGGGCCTTAGTGGTTTCCTTCCAAGTGATATATTGCCTTTTCTTACTTTGGAATTTTTGAAAGGTTTAAAACCTGCACTTATTTTGATAATACCCATTTTGAAGCCCAATTGAAATGTGGATGCATTCCCCTGTTGTTCTTTTTCTTTGAAATACTGTTAGCCTAGATCTTCTTTTCAATGTTTCTGTAGTCATTAATGTGAAGCAATTTTAGTCACATGATAGTCTATCTGGTTTAGCAAGGACATAAGTTGTCCATGGAGGTGCTTCTTATTCTTTGCTGTAGTGAAAACACTCTTTTCTTAGAATCAACAAAAAGTAAAACAATTTAACATGTTTTTTCCTATAAACCACCTTAAAAATAGTGTATTTATAGGGAAATCACTTTTCAATTGCAATTTATACATAAAGCACCTCTAAAGGGGTTTTTGTTACAAGCAACCAACTTTTAGTCAAATTTCACTAAAAAATAAAAAATTGCCCTAAAAAAAATAAGTTTGAGGTTCGCAAGTTATATTCTAACAAGACCTAAACACACACACAAAAAAAGAGAGTCACGTGCCTTGAATGTGAGTTTTTAAGGTTGTTTCTAGGGGGGAAAACCCTAATTTAAAACACATCGAAATAATAGACTTGGGCATGTGAGGCTTTTTGGCAATCATGTGCTTTTGATGTGAATGCTAATTTCTATCACAAGCTCATTACTCATTAGCATGTTTATTTGTTTAGACTCTTCTCTGGTTTAGAAAAAAATTATCACTAGAAAAGGTAGGTTGACTTACCACTAAAAGTGTTCAGTATGGTTGGAAACAGAGTGAATTGAATCAAACAATGTGCTATTAGAATTCAATTAAAGTTGGTCTGTCCGACTTTGTGGTCAAATTCGATTCAAATAACGTAGTATTTGAATTCAATTCATTCAAATATTTGACTATGTGCCACTTGTTTGTGAATATTTATCTAGATCACTTGTCACTCGTTAGCCGATCTTAATGCCTTGGTCATAGATTCAAGTTAGTATGTTATTTTGATATTTTAGTGTAAATATCTACTATAGATTTCTCATCTACAAAAATGCATTATGTGGCAATCTTGTTCTTACTTCTAAACCTTAGTTACTTTTAAAATTAGTAGACCTTAATCTCACATGCTTAGATCATAATATATTTCCAACGATATTTGTGTCATGATATACTGGGATATATTGGGCATGATGTACATCTCAAATATATATTATGGATGAGCAAAGTTCGTAATAAATTAAATTGATAGGGCTAAAATGTAATATACAAACAAATATTTGATAATCAAACTAATCGAACGTACATCCGGCTATGTTTTATTCGTTTGTAACCGAATACCAAATCTATTCATTAATTGTTAAACGAATTAATGGAATTGAATAATCAAAGTGCTACTGGCCATGATCATTGCTTGGTTACAGTTTATTATGGCAGCAACTTGGGACAAATATATGTTGCATTGGTACGGGGTACGGGACAAGACATATTGCAAGAGGTATGGTACGGGGACACAATTGTATACATATTTATATACACATATTATGTACTGAAATTAATAGTTTACATGAGATCAATATTTTTTTATGAGAATTAAAAATTCTATAACATTTTTATGTTTCTTTTGATACATGGATTATAAATTGTAAAAACGCTCATTTTCTGAACAAGACATCCAAATGACCATAAAATCATAGTTTGGAACCTATTGAGCTTAAAGAAGTGTATGTGAAGTGTATGATTTATGTCCAGGAAACATTTGACTAATGTTCCTTTTAAAATTTTTAAAACATGTATTATTTAATTGATTACATGACCGAATAAATGTATGCATATATGTCTAAGGAGTTTGGGTATGGGTCAGTACAGGTATGAATTCAGGATAAAAGTACTGAGGTAATTTAGGCACAAACTAATTCAATGTTGATGCTGAACTTCTACTCTTTGGAGCTTTCATCTATGGTAGCTGTGTTCCCTAGGCAATCCCATTTCAACCGATAAAAAACTGGATCTTTTAATGTTGAGTTTGATATATTGACAAGCTACGAATCACATTATATGATAACATTTTTATGATGACTATTTTCCTTGGTTAGTCTTGTTTCTTACAATATTAATATATCTTAAGCATCTCTTGTTTTGGATGCATTCATACATACTTGTGTCTGTCAAATCAATAATAACAATAGGGAACTCTTCACACGAGCTTTGAGAGAGTATTGCAGAAAGCATGAATCAATTTGGATCTTTTGAAACTGGAGATGCTTGAGGATGACATGTAACTGTTTAGGATTGTTTTCTTGGATTTCTTCATACATAAGCTAATATCTTGCAACTTTATGGTCACTTCTCTTATTCTTTGAATACTTCAAACTTTCATATGATTACTTTTAGTTGGTAAATTCAAAAGGCACTTGGAAATTATTTAACTTCACAAGTTTAGAAATCTAATTTCCATAGCTCCTATCAGCGTACCTGGTGACCGTATTTAAGATTCATTTTGTCTTTAGGAACTAAGAAATAACTTTATATTTTTTTCTTCTAGTGAACTTGTTACTAGCAACTATTTGGTAGGACAACGTTCTTTTTCTATGCTTCATTTTCTCTAAAACTTGTGCCTTTAATTCAAGTTGTAAAAATAGGCAGATCAAGCCGATCAAGCCTTGGTCCTTCTAGTTTCATTTGTTATATACTATTGCATGCTTTGCAAATCAAGCCTCGATCCTCATAATTTCATTTGTTATTTACTATTGCATGCTTTCTTTTGGTATCTGAGTATCTTTTAATGGCAAAAATAAAGTTGTTCCGTGGCAATGAGGAACTATTACTTATCATGACTTAACAAAAGTATTATTTCTCTTTGAATGATTTACAGAACTGCATTCTTTATGCTCTGCAGGCAAACCTTCCGTCAACATTTTAAAGGATAGTGAGCTATTCTCTTGTAAAAAGAGTGAAGCTGCTCTTAGATACGAAGTGTAAGTGATTCACAAATACTTCTCTTACATTATTATGCTAAAAGGTCCTTTGCAATACTCTTTTGATATGGTTCAGTCTGACAGATTTACAGAATCAACTTACAAGTATTCTCTCAAAACGCAAGAATGCAGTCAACTTACAAGAATCCCCTTTACGGCCTTTGCTTAAGCAAAATTCTGAAAATAGTTCCCACCAGCAATCATCTGATGTGGGTAAGAAGGATGAGTATACAAGAACTATGCCTGAAGCTGCTCTAGACTCAGTAGATGCGGTTAGTGTAGAAGTTCATGAACAGTCAATGTCTGTGCCTACTACAGATTCAAGCAGTGGACTAAAAAGAAAAAGGAATCCTACCATTGTGACTCCTCCATGGTCATATTGTGAAACTTTATTTGGTATGATGCTTCCCTTGCTTCTTAAATTCATAGTTCATGTTTATGTTAATTTAATTTGTAAGCTTTGGAGAATTGTCCGATAACAATTTGGATTAGTTGTACCACATGATTTTAAGCATGCTGATCTATGTCAAATCGTAACTGATAAGAATAGAGCTTTTGGGGGAAAGAGCCAATTTTATTCATTGTACCGGAGTATTTAAATGCAAGAGTAAGAAAATAGGTTCTAGTATCCTGAGCGATGTAGAACTAAAAGAAAGGGATGTAATATGCCTAATGACTATATTTAACATCCCCGTCAAACTCATGATCGGTAGAGAACTGGGAGTTTAGATAAGACGAGCCAAATTTGCATAGATGGTTGTTGGCATGACTTGGCGAGGGGTGGTTAAATTGAAGGCGAGAGTGGTTGAATTAGAGCCAACCAGTGACTGAAATCGTAGGTGGTGAGATAATGTTATTGTAGTAGTTAGAGACGGTCATGCATGTTGGTCGTGAGAGGGCGGACTTGCAATCGCCGGAGAAGGTGTGGTGACTGGATCTTGCAAGCGGCAAGGTATGATATTGCAATAGTGATCAGTGGTCATGCACGGAGGTCGGGAGAAGGCGGACCTGCGCTCGCAAGAGGAGGCGCAGTGATAAGAAATTGCAAGCATCAGTGAGTGGAAAACGCTCGGCTGGAGAGAGCTTGGCCAAAGGCTAGTCGAGGAGCAAGAAATCTCACTAAAGCAATTCGTCGAACACCGTGTGTGCATGCGATGAATATTTGTGCAATTACACCCTTTGGAGCAGGGTGGTGTTAGCAAGCAGAGGTTTGCGGGGGAGGATTGGGTTTGGCAAGGCGAGAGTCTATGCTGATCGACGACGATGTAGGTTATCCTTGGCAATGGTGGCGGTCGAGAAGTGGTTGCTCCAAAAGTTGGTGTCCGAAGCCGATGTCAAGTAGTAACTTGAATAGATAAGTGATTGCGATGAACAATAGCCTTTAGTGAACAATAACCCATGGATGAACAGTGTCATTCGGCAAAGCGGCGAGGTTAGGGCTAGGATTTGCTATGAGCAAAGGATAGTGAGAGGTTGTGAGAGATGAGATGGACATCAACGTTGAATCTGGTGTTGAGGCCGCTGAGGGGAAGCATGAAGTTTTCAACAAAACCCCCTCGGCGGCTCTATGTAGGGGAAGAAGAAATAGGTCTTTTTGGGATGAAGAGAAAATAGAGAAGAAGGTTGTAAATCATCGTAAACAACTTCAGTCGGAATTTGGTTTACCAGATTTTGCGGAAGGTTCAATAGCCATCCATCTCAGAGATATGAAGAGGTAATGGAGGCGCAATGATGGTCATGATTCTTCAAGGAAGAGGTACCGTAGCTAGAGCAGAAGTCGTAGCCCATAGATGGTCATTGGCCAAAGAAAGTGAGAACGATGCATATAGGAATCGAGATAAAAGAAGGGAGTGTGAGAAGAGCGGAAGCAAAGATAAAGATGACCTCGAGAGGGATAGAATCAGAGAAAGGGATAGAGATAGGAGGGGGGGATGAGTGGCAAAAAGTGGTAACTGTTGATGACCAACCCATAAATGATGGCTCCTTGTTATGGACACTTAATTAAGCATATGTTTATCGTTTGCGTTTTGGTAATACAAAGCTACAGACACTTGTCCCAAAATAAAACTGCATCTTGAATACATTTTGTTTGATCCCTAATTCAGACTTAATTGTATCAATTCCCATGAATGCTAGGAAGTGTTAGCATTTTGAGTAGAGAATGTGTTCTAAAGAGAGAGAACTACAATGATATTTTTAGGTAAAATCGATTTTCACGCAATTTACTAAAAAAGTAAGGGAGAGTCACTGATGAGGTTGAAGCTGATGTCAAAGCCGCCATTGGAAAACACAGTGAGACTCCCTCAGCGGCCCAAGATCAAGGAAATGGAAGAGATCTCTCTATGATGAAGATGATTGTTCTGAATCTGCTGATATCAAGATAAGAATAGAGCTTTTGGGGGAAAGAGACAATTTTATTCATTGTATTGAAGTGTTTAACTAGAAAAGTAAGAGAAGAGGTTCTAGCATCTTAAGCGATATGGGACTAAAAAAGAAATGGATACAATAAGCCTAATAACTATATTTAACAGTAACTAGCAGATGCCATTAATAATGGCTGAACAAATAGTATAAGTCAATATCAGATAATAATGAAATAGATATTGGCTAAATGAAATCGATATTGGCTAATGACAGGTATACAGTAGGACAATTGGTTTGAAGTAGCATGAGTTGATTTGATAGTATTATACTGGGAAAATAAAAAGGAAAATAAAAAATGCTGGCCTACTTCTTTTCGAATAATTCTGATTACGAATTAATGAAAGCACTATCACTTTCAATACAGGTCAAGGTGAGCTAAAGTAACAACTTACACCACGATTTATGATATTTTGTATGTCAGTTATTGTTGGTATTGTAAATGTTTTATAGTTTTGCTGGGCGCGTGTATACACATTTGAGAAAGAAAATACTTTACAGAAAAACAAAACTAAAACATAATTATAGTTATGATTGTAAAATAATAAAGAATATTATGGGGCAAATTGTTCTATAAGAAAAATGGTTTCTTATGGAATCTATATGGTTCAATCTTTATCTAATTTGGCATCACATATTTATATCGAAAAGCAAGATGAAGAGTAAGGGGATAAACACATACTTAGTTCTTATTTAAAAAAGAACAAGTTGAAGTCTAGGTTAAATTAATCCTTATCCAAGCTTACATATCGCACAATTTATCTATAGCATTATAAGTTTCTGAATAATGTATATTTTTAAGAAAACAAGATAGGAAGATTAGATGAAATTAAAGTTTATCTAATTTTAGGTCTGACATATTTTTGGAGATACAAAATTAAGAAATTATGATGACAGTTGTGCTTATCTAATAGGGTTATCTAATAAAGAGCGAGTTCGAAAGTTTAGATATGGTGCGGTTCTAAATTTAGGTATTGAATGATTTAACTAAAAGTAACAGATGAAAATTAGGTTTTTTTATTACAAGTTGTTCTCTTCAATATTTAATATTTTTAAAAGTAGTCCCTCAATTGAAAGTACTAGTTAGTTCTCTAGTTCATACATATAACTCAAATTAGGCTCTATGGTAAATTACCATGTGTGGGTTGGGGGTAATATTTGACATGGATATCCAATATTATCCTTTTTATTAAATTTACATCAAAAACTCAAACTCGTTTGAAACCCAATCTGAAGCCCACCTCTTCTAGCCAACTATTATCTTCTTTCTCATGCTCCATTTTTCATCAAAAAAAAGAGGAAAATTTGATTTTGGGCGAAATGGATGAATTGAGTGTAAAACAGTAATTTGGGCTAATTGCTAATTGAGCAAAGAGAAGAATTTTGATGTGGAAACTAATAAAGAGACTAATATGGAGTAATTTATATAAAATGGAGACTAGATAACAATATCAATGATATGAGAACTAATTTCAAAATATGAAAGATTTAAGGGGCCAATATCTAAGAAACCCTAAAAATTAAGAAGTAATGATACAACCAAGAAAACGGTTATTTCAATATTAGTCCTCAAATCTTTTATTTTTTGATATTAGTCCCTAAAATCGTTGAAATTTCTATTGAGTACCCCAAATCATTAAGTTGTTTGAAATAAGTCCCTTTGGTTAGCACCTGTTTGAATTGGGAGGAGGAAATATTCCTTCAAGTTTAACTTTTCGAGGCGGAATACCAATTATATAAAGCCTAAATCTGATTTAGTGTGAGAGGGAAGGTTTTGGTGTCAATTTTGGGCGCGAAGGAGAGGGAAAAAAATATCCCCTTTCTGAGCAGATGAACTGGAAATTAGAGGGGTAAACTGATGTTTGGAAGCGGGGTGGGGGTGTTATTTATCGAGGGCAGTTTTGGTAATTACCCATCCATACTTGAGCGCTAACCCAACCATGGTTAACAAGTTGGATGGATTTTATAATGAAGAGACTAATTTCAAACATCTTTTGAGGACCTAATAGCTATTTTAATGATTTGAGGGACTAATCCGAAAACATGAAAGATTTGACGGACAATTGTCGAAATAACCAAAAAACCTTATATCACAAAAGTACAAAGTATGTATTAAAAAAAAATTCATGTATTAATCCTCCTTTTGAAAGCTTCTAATGTCAAAATTTTATTTTGGAAAATTTACTATTTGAAATCTTTTTGGCATATCCATTTGTATCATCGGCATTAGACATGATCCAATTTAAACTTCTATAACTACTACTAACGATACTTTTTGGTACCACAAACTGCATGCATCGTTACTTTATAGAAGAAGACTTTTGTTGTTATTATTATAATATGAAATACAACTCTTTACTCTCACAACAACATCTGAGTTATGGTGTAATGGTTAGAGGGACTTCAAGATTGTATCAGAGCAACACAAGTTCAATTCCTCGGGCCACAAATTCAAGGTAGATTTTGTAAAAATCAACACCACTGCGTGAATCTAGGTTTCGGCCCATAAAAAAAACGCTCAACCTGCGGGGGCATGTTAGAATATAAAATTTGTCCCTCAACTCTCATCACCAACTCTCACCACAACTTCAGAGTCGTAGTGTAATGGTTAGAGGGACTTTAAAGTTATTATGGCATCCTGTGCTGTTTGAGAACCAGAAGTTGCTTGATTTGTTTGCTTCAAGAATAACCTTGCATTCGACAATTTAAAAGTGTTTACTGGGGAGTGGGGACAAGGTTAAAGTTATGGTGCTTGGATTTTGTTTATGTTTGACAATAGAAGGGTAATAACTGAAACTTTTTATTGTAATGTTGCCGTTCTTTGCCGTTTAACTTCATTGTAATGTTGCCGTTCTTTGCCGTTTAACTTTTATATAGAATGCAATGAACACACTGCTTTCCTATTGGTAATTTATCACATATTTTTTTCCTATTGGATCACACAAAATTGTGCTTGCGGTCACTACTTAAACTTTTTGATCTGTCTTCTTTGTTGGTTCCCCTCATGTTCCATTTGTTATTGTGCTTGTGAGTGTAGACATGTCTGTGCAAGTGTACATGTTCATAAACATAATCGGAGCTGCAGTTTAGTGTAGGCGTTTCCTTTTAATTGAAGCTGGTCGATACACACTTGTTTTCAAACTTTCTTTGTTTATTAAGGTTTTACTGCCCTTTAGGAACCTCTAAATATGAGCAATCTTCAACTTCTCAATCTGGCGAAGCAAAAATACACAATATTTTGAAAGGGGAGAGTTGCGTATCATCCTCACTAAGTTCCTTTTCTGCAAAGAACATTGTTACATGCTTAAAGGGGCGAGAGAGAGGTATTAGTTGGCCCTTTGCCTCCTCTCATGGCGTTTATGCAGGGAAAAAGCAGATCTGGAATTCATTTCTTGAAGGTGTGTTAGTATTTTTACTGTAATTCAGTGAAATTCGTTCTGATAATTTTTTTTTGATCTTGTGCTTCTTTATTCATTTATAGGTTGGAGATCACTTGGATATCAGTTTGCTGGACCTGCTGTGAGGCTGAAACGAAAAAGTTATTCTTCTTGGGTTCCTACTTGGTCTGCCTATACATCAAGTGCTGCTAGTGCTCAACCTCATGGAAGGGTTTGTTTGTCCTGAACTCTTATTGTCTTACTGTCGATGCATGAACTATTTGTGATTATTCTTTTATTTCTTCATTTATCACAATGATTTTTTATGATAATGTTTTTTGTTGATTTTTGATATATGTACACATGTGAACATATATATATGTATGTGCGCTCGTCTGTCCGTGTCTCTGTGTGTGTCTGTGTGTGTGCGCGTGCGCGCACGCGTGTATATACAAAACACACAGACACATGGAATACGTACATGCATGTACATATTCCGTGCGTGTGTGGGGAGTGGGGGTACTGAATATGAGCTTTCATCTCATTTAGTAATGTTAGTGTGAGAGCGAGATACATATTTATTACATATATGTCCGTGTGCATGTGTATGAATACTGCGTATGAGCTGTCTACATACGTACACAAATTTATTAGACATGTATATGTTTTTTTGGGGGAATACTGAATATGAGCTATCACCTCATTTAGCAACAAAATTAGTATGAGAGGAGAGAGAGAGATGCATATTTGATGTTTATATGTATGTGCATGTGCATATGCACTTACTGAATATGAGCTCATTTAGCAAGTTCACTACGAGAGAGAGGTGTCTTATCACATGAATCAATAGGAGATGCCAAGCTACTAAAGGGTTTGGATCCAAAAATTACTCATCTATTTCTTAAAATTTTAAATCAATGTACATAGAATAAAACTACAAATTCAGGAGTATTAAAGTATCTCATTGCAGATATAACCCATGCTATGAGAAATTTTTTGAGCCAATTTAATATTAGCTGTGACTTACTAGAAAGGACTATATATTGCTTTGAAGTGGCCAATATCCATATTGTTACATTGTCAGTAGAGCTCATGCCATTTCACAAGACGAAGCTCCATTGTACATAGAATAAGAGAACAAATTCAGCAGTATTAAAATATCTCATTGCAAAAATAATTGGAGCAATGAGATTTCTTTGAGCTAATTTAATATTAGTTGGGTCTACTTGCAAGAACTATATATTGCTTGAAGAGTCCAATATCCGTATTGTTATATTGTTAATAGAGCTTATGCCATTTCACAAGAGGAAACTCAATTGTTTTGAGAGCCTAAGAGAATTGAAGGAAATAAATTCCATGCAAAGGTGTCACATTCATATCCAAAGTCTGGACGCCTTAGCATCTTCTGCATAAATACATCCATGTTGAATCAGCTGGATGAGATATATTCTGAATACAGTAATTAAGGACTATGGTTAAAGTTAAGCAAAAAGTAAGTGAAGCTCTATTATATTGTTTAGGAAATCTTTCATAGCTTACTATATGTGACTTCGGTTAATGACAAGCCGGATATTAACAGTATGTTGGTCTTGTTAATATCTTGAAGATGTTTACGTGATTCTTACTATTTCTTTGCACATTCATTGCAGCACATGTGACTTCAGATGAGTTAGGATACCAATTTTCAATTCCTTGGATTGGGCATGATTCTTTTATGTGTGATTGTAGTACTTGTAGTTATATTCAATATTCTTATTAGTTAGTGTATGAAACAGTTTATAAATCTCCTAGTTTTCATATAAATGTTCTTTTCTATTCTGTAGATGGACCTGTATCGCACAATCTTATGTATTCCCTCAGCTTTACTCATCACCGTAACATTAGTTAAAAAAATAAGCAACCCTATCTGTGCAGGCATGCGCATAATACTTCTAGAATTTAGCTAGAAACTGATAAAAAATTTGAATGTAATTATATCTCTTTTTTTCCTAATCAATTTTTTCTAGAATTTAAATACTAGTATGGTTCCATGGATTATCTTTATGTGGGAGATTTTTGGAATATAATGTCAGAAAACCCCCTTGAGTATAGTGATTATCAGAAATCCCCCTCCCAAAAAAGCGCAACTTTGAGATGTTATTACAAAATCTCTTTAAATTCATCGGTTTTAGTGAACTTTCCCCATAAAATCTCAAAGTTAAAGGAGTTTTTTGATAGTCCCTAAACTTAAGGATGTTTTATGGTATTTTTAGAATTATCCAGGGTTATCTGATTATCATCCGAAGTTAAGGGAAGTTTTCTTATGTTTAACCTTTAAAATGTTATACTTTGCTTGCATAGTAATTTGCACTAAATATGAGATATATTGTTTGTCTAATAATATACATATATACATGTGTGTGTACATGTATATATGTATGTATGTACAATGTTACATTAAACACTGGGTGCTCCTAGGCACCGGACTTGGTGCCCAGCACTTAGACGCTTAGGCAGACGCCTAAGCGGTTTCTGGGTATTTTTTTTCTTTTTTCTTTTTTAAATTGCGAATTTGCGATACTTGAAGATAAACATATATATACTTAATCAAAGATGCATAAATACAAAAATACCAACACATATGCTATCCAAACTATAATAGTAAATAACAAGGCATATAATATCCAATATCTAGAAGTTTAGGTCCCAAAATATCAGCAAAAAGACATTTAAACAAGAATAGTCTAAGCTCTAATATAATTAATTAACAATATGCATCTAATCTAATCTCATCATCAATCATCATCATCATGAAGTTCCACCTCTACCCCATCATCGCTATCCTCTCCAGAATCCATATCCATACAATCCTCTTCGTCTGTAACATCATATTTAACTCAAATTACTGTTAGTGTTAACTTAATATTAACTTAAACTTAAACAGTTAAACGTAAGTACTGTTAACTTAAATTTATATTTAACTTATAACTTAATCTTATATTTAACTCAAATTATTGTTAACTTAATATTAATTTAAACTTAAAAACAATTAAACTTTTAAGTACTGTTAAATTATTCTTATAGTTAAGAAGTCTGTCCTTTAGTCCTTTACCTTGTTCCAGAGATCGAAGCTGACTCCCTAGGGCTTTTGACTAATTTTTTGGTTCCGAAGATGAGCTCGGAGACTGAAGACGAGCTCAGAGATAAGAACGAAGACGAATAGCTTCAACGAGACAGGACAAGATCGAAGACGAGCTCGAAGATCGAAGACGAGATCGAAGACGAGCTCGGAGATCGAAGACGAGATCGAAGACGAAAGGCTTCGGCGAGATTGAAGACGAGGCTTCGACATTGTGACTTCAACGAGGCCTCGGCAACTCCGATAGGCTTCGACGAGGGC